TATATACAAATACATGTCCCAAGTCCGAGCATAAATACTAATTTGTTTTCTACTTTTTTTTCTCAATACAATAAGATTTTAGATTCATAGTGTGTTTTGGACGACCAAAGATACGGTAGGGATGATCGGAGATGCGACAAGGACAAAGATTTCTTGTATTTATCTGGCTACTCATAATTTTTTTCTTTCAAAACACTTGACCTAATGAACCGTGAAAATCGTAACCTATCACCGATTTTATGGTTAAATCGGACGGTTACCAGATTTTACACTGGTTATATCTCATCCGATTTTAGCCATTTCAAGTAGGTCCCCGGTTTTTCCAATTGAACCGGTCAGTCCGTTCTGATTTTTAAAACACCGATTAAAACTTACTTTTAAAAAATAAAAATCCAAACTTAAAAAAAAAAAATCCCCAGTTTCAGATAATGTTAATACCTAATCGAACTGTTGAAATTAAGTACTAAGTAACTGTAATATTTCTGATTTTGATATTTTTTTTTTTTTTGAAACTTGAAAAGTATATATAAAATATTTATAATTTCAAGGCATGTGTTATTTACTTAATGATCTTGAATAGTTAAATAACATTAAAAATCGAATATTGTTTTATTACGTTTAAGAGTTTGATCTCAAGATTCTCAAAACCTTATGTCTCTAAAAAATGGTGCATCTGCTTATGGCTTGCGAGATTAGGGATCCAGGTTTAAAATAGCCTGAGTTTTTCAGGTGAACCGGCCCATGGCAAGACCTCTACCAGTGCCTCAGCCAAGTTAAATAAGGTTCCAAACTTTGGCGGTCCAGCCCATTTTGCATCTTCAACCTAGCTCTTAATTTCGTCTTGAAGCCCATAGAGATTAAAATTAAATTTTTAGTAGATTTTGATAAAAAAAATGATGAAATATGTAGTTAATCTAAATTTTAATCCCCACCAAACATGTGCGAAATATCGATCAATCAATAAAGTGGAAAATCAAGGGGAACCCTTATGCTTTTTCCTACTTTTGCTTAAAAATAATGTATTTTGACATTCTAAGTGAATAACAAAAATATAAAAATCAAAAATCAAAAGGATAGTAACTATAAACTATAGGGAAATGATGTTTGTACCGGNGCAGCTCAGGTTTGAATGAAATAAAACTTTTCTTGAATTTCCCTTCGTTGAAATTCTTTTTGTGTGGATTTTTGTCTTTCCTATAATCTTCTCCTGCATCACCTACCAAACAGGTGCGAAATATCGATCAATCGATAAAGTGGAAAATCAAGGAGAACCCTTATGCCTTTTCCTACTTTTGCTTGAAAATAACGTACGTATTTTGACATTCCAAGTGAATAACAAAAATATAAAAGTCAAAAATCAAAAGGATACTAACTATAACTATAAGGTATCTGTTAATACCTTTTGGATCTTTCTCAAATTACATGTTATTTCTGCAAATGATGGTCTGTTTGTAGGTTCTTCATCCCATGATTTTTGTATCACTTCAATTAGCTCTCCAAGTTGTTGATCAGCCTTAAGAATTGCTGGCCTTAGTCCATTTTCTGCAACTTCCAAGGCTATCTGTTTATGAACAAGACAACAAATGAGATAACAGTATTGAACTCTCGACAATACGAGATAGTATTAATGCTATCTCGTATATATAAGAAACTGGTCTAATATTGCATGCTAAACAGCGTCTCGTATAAATACCTTGGAAGGACCATAATCCGTTTCAATGTACGGATATTCCCCATTCATCAGCTCATTCAGAATGATGCCAAAACTGTATACATCACATTTTTCGTCGTAAGGCTCAAACCGGATCACCTCCGGTGCCATATAAACATATGTGCCTGAAGAATGAATTTTCGGAGTCAATAACGCGTATCAGATGTTATAAATATTAGCAAGTGATTCTGATGCCGATGCTAAATTTATTGAGGATAAAGTTTAGTTCGTTGCCTGTTTCTCCAGTTAGCGCCTTTTCTTCATTGCTCAAGAATCGAGCATGACCAAAATCTGCAATCTGAACGTGCAATGCATCGTCCAAGAAAATGTTACTAGGTTTCAAGTCGCGGTGAAGGATCTTAGGCTTGTTTTCGTGAAGATATTGCATTGCTTGAGCAATTTCCAATGCCTTTTCAAATCTCTCCTTCAATGGTGGAAGGGGGATGGATCGTTCCTTCCTTCGACTTCCTGGACCGTGCAACCAATCTTTAAGGTTGGAGCACAAAAAATCGGTTACAATCCAACAATTTTCTGGAGGGTCAAGGCATGCGCCCATCAGCTGTAGAACGAAAGGATGTCTTTGTCTTGATAGGGTTTCGACTTCTTGTGCAAAGAAACTGACTCCATTCTCGTTTGATCCGAAGAAATCGGGGTACATGCACTTTACCGCAACATCAAGTCCTCTCCATCTTCCTCTGTATATGTCTGCAGTACTTCCTTGTGCAGCCAATTCATTCAGTTGAATCTGTTTTTAATCAGACAGTCAGCAAATAGCACAACAATTTCATTGGATAACTTCATTTGCAGGATATAAGTTTCTTCATCAAGGCCAAAATTCCAAAGAATTGTATCTGCCAACAATAATAGTTTGCAATGGGTCCGTTTGAGGTGTTTCATCTAAGTTGTTAGAGAGAAAGCAAACTTATTTATCAAACGGTCCCTCCCTCTGATACAGGACAACACTATGTGACCACGAGACTTGAAATCGTGTACCTTTGCAGGCTCTGTGTACCTTAACATATGTGAGATATGTATTATGCATGAAAAGGTGAAGAGACAAACCTCGTTAGGCTCGATGTACCACCCGTTCGTCTTGGCTTTATCTACGAGGGCTGCAAGTTCAAAATGTTGTTGTGCCGGAGAAGGTATTGGAGGTCCGATGCTGGACCGTGTAATACTAGGAGAAATTGAGGGGTCCATCTCTTTATTGTACTTGTTAAGTAAAAGGTCTAAGAAACCATTGTCTTGTGCTACTTGAAGACATTGTTTTAGATGAACTTGTGTTCTTTCTAGCTTCGTCTTGTACATGCGCTTTAGCTCCTTGTGCTTTTGAAGTTCCTTCTGTATTTCTTCAACCTTCATTGGAAGCCAAAATTATGTCAATTCACATTAGGGACTAAGCCATAATCCCAATCCCTAGACCAAATAATAGGAAATACGTAATAATAAACACGTGAATTGGTACACTCTTAATGCGAGAGTTACATGTACATTCCGTTATAGTTTATTCACAAAAATGAATAAAAATGTGAAGAAGGGATATTAGGTCTTTCTTGTCACAAAACGGATGGCTAACTCCACGCTAATAGCCGTGTATGAACTACTTAAATAATGATTAAGATTCAAAGAGTCAAATCTGGTTGTTCTTTGTAGTTCAGATAATTATTTTCTAACTCGGTGATAGAATTCTGAGCATTTTCAATTTGTCTAAAGTAGGTGCTAGTCAGCTACTTTATATCCTGAGAAATAGACTCCATCAGTCCTCTTGCACTATAGTGTAGAGGGTGCGAATCTGTTTTAAGAAAACTATGTATAATAGAGGCCTCGATTCTTTCAAATACCACTACTACATCAACAACCAGATTTCCTTTCTTTTATTCTTACTCTTTTTATTGTAACGTTTCTTTCAATTATTTTATAATTTTAGCAGTATTCCTAATTCCCTATTGTATTTTCCTAGCAAAACATGCACTACATGTTATGTTTTTGCAATCGATGCATCAACATGTATATACATAATATACATACCTGCCGGCTGAGGTGGTCGAGTTTCATTGCAGGTGGTGGCTCTTGGTGGTGGGGCAGTTGATTGACTGCAGGCCCCATGACAATGCAGTCGCTCAACCGCCTACAAAAGCCTCGAGATGGGATGGCTCTGGAGTTCTTCCGCCTTAACTTTGGTGTGGAAATACTATCGACCGAAGTTTGCCTTGGACTAAATGGGATTGTTTTCTTCTCTTGGGTTGCCCCATTGATACTCATGGTGTGAATTTAACAGAAAAATATGTAATTTTCAACCTGCAGCTATGCGAACAGGCAAAATATAAGCTATTCTAGCAGATTATATATCTATTTTCAGCCTTCAGATTTGGAGTGTTATATGGGACAAAATGGGCGGATTTTCTAAAGAACTGACTTAAAAAATCACTTGATAAATTTATTTATTTTAAAAAAATTTCTTAAGACCCCCTAATGCGCTCGTGACCCCCTAATGCGCTCGTGCGTGCACGCGCGCGTACACACACATATATATTTTTTAATTAATTAGTGACAAGACTTGAATTCAATTTTTTTTATCATATTGAATCAATTTATCAAAAAACATAAAAGAGTGCTCAAAATATTTCTCTTTTTATCAAGAACAAGCTCGACAAGTTTTTCTTTTTGAGTTTTCATCCTTTTCTCTTTGTTCTTTGTGTGTGTTAGTCATTGATATTTCCGAAATTTCTCATCTTACGCGAATCCTCCGAATGAAATTCTGTTCATTGGCTGGCAACTATCGTAATCCAAAAATGTGCAATTTCATTGGTATAGCAAGGCATCAAGTCACATGAATATTTTATTATTGAGAAATAGTGACTTCTTGCAGTAAAATTGTAAAATTAAGTTTTTACAGAAGATTACAATTTATAATACAAAATAACTTTGACGTATGTGAGTAACTGACGGTGTTCTCAATGATTTTCAGGGCGGTTGATGTTGAAATGTTAAACAAGAATTGGTGGAGATTTCGACGTAAGGATCGCCCCCTATTTCGGGTCGATAGACTGCATCCACAACTTTTGGTGGCCTAGTTTACATCTATGTTCAACTAAATATCGGAGCAAATAAAAATTTTTTATTTAAGTTTTGCCGTCATTCATTTTTAAAATATTGTACACGTATAAGATTTTAATGAGGAAAAAAAGAATCCCATCTACATATAAGGAAGTGCATAAAAAGATTTAAGATAACACACGTGTATGAGTAACAATTTTAACCTAAATTAAATGGCTCAACATTGTACAGAGTATGTAAAGTTGAATTCAAGTCTAGCCGTCACCAATTCTATCCTCTACCTTTGACATTTACAACAAATTCTTCTTCAATCTATTTTTCCTTTTTCGATAATTATGTTTCCAATCTATTGTAATACTTTGATTCCCAATAGACAAATTACATCGAAGTTGTCATTAAAAAATGTACGTGAATCTCAAATGTTCAAGATATTTAGGAATAAACGGTAAATACATAATTTCAATTAAAAAATACAAGAAAAGAAGTACAATCCCAACCACATTGCCGTGCAGCAACTCGTAGTCTCCTACTAGTCTCCCCAATTCCATCCATATCTTTCTTATTGCTTGTACTCCCTCTCCTACTCCGTCTCCTCACTTGTAATACCACTTGATTGACATGGAATGGACTCTTTCATGCATAATGAGTCAAAGGTATAACTCTAGTCTTTATCCTCTTCGAGGGTTAAGGTCAATGGTACATTTTATACTAGTCACGGAAACGGTCGATCATCAGCAGTCTAGATAAATGACAATATTCGGAAGAAAATTTCGTTGCGATACTTAGCCTATAATCTTTATACCAAGTTCATTACCTATCTTTATAATCTTTTTCTCTCAAATGTTATTTTTTGTTTTTTAGATTATTTTAATTGTTTTCACCAATTAACTAAATGGGAAGAGACCAGTTTTATCCTTCTTAAAAGGGCTAAATGCTGATTTTTTGATATCCAAACATCCTTTTGCCAAACATTCTTTTGGCATGAAATGTTTGATTCGGCATGTAGGTGCTAATATTAAAAGATTTATGACTTGATTGAATATTTTTGAAAGGTTTGAAATCATCGTTGCAAATTTCTCATAGTTTTATAACTAGTAAGATAGAATTCAACCAAAATCTGACTTTTAAACATCAACTTGAATCCAACCTGTCCCCTAAAAACCAAAGTACTACGAAGTGACAAATTGGAAAAGTGCCCAAAAATAAGTTGGACTTGGTACACAAATTTCATAAGTTAAGAACCTTCATTGTAATTTTTTTCTTGACACTCGATACAGTTATTTTTACTTTTTCTTGTGATATCGCCTACAAACTTAAAATTCAGGGGATGAGTCCCTACCAAATAAAGATTTGGTTAGGTCGTTACGTTTTAATTTTTTATTGAGACATCGCTTACGACTTTCAAATTAAATCACTTATCAATTTGGATCCAGTAAATAATGATTCAATTAAAGTGTCGTATCAACAATATTCATGGCTCCTCATGAACCCCTCCCTAAAATCACTATTCAATTTTGGATTCAGCAATTGCACTAGTCATCTTGTCATGTATTCAACAATTACACTGGTCATCTTGTCTTGTATTCAGTAGTTTGCATGTTGTCAATCCTTTAAACGCATTAGAGCCCCAAATATATCTTATTTCAACTTGCTTTTTCGTATGATAGAACTCTATGAATTGCACTTGACATAGCCTCGAATGCTAAAGTTAATACTAGAGGCGTAAGTAGATCAATATCATCAAAGATAATAACGGATATTTTTTTTTTTTCGATAAATACTTTTACAAGTTCTAAGTTAATACAAAGGTCCATAACTGCAACTAGAGGAAATTACATGGACAAGTACTCCCAATAATTGAGGAATTTATCTCCATGATAGCAATAAAGAAGGATCTCTATATTTGCTTATAAATTTTGTAATATTTACTTATCATTTTTGCAATTTTTGGATAGTAGATGCCTGCGAATGCATTGATTACATCAAAGAAAACCTTCAATAATTTCATTATCAAACAAAATATTTTGTGCACGTGGAAATTCAATGGCCTTGAATGTAATTATTCTTTTATGCACGATCCAAAACTTATCAACGTAACGGGTTGTGGTGTAAATATATCCTTTATGATTTTTTCGGACCACATATTAGAAATAAAAGAAATTATACAAATTTAATTTCTTAAATCATCAATAATTTGTGATTTTCTAATACTGTATAAATTAATAACATCTTTACGAAGTGTACAACTACTAGTCGGTTTGTACCTAGGTTGAAGGCATGTTTGTATGAATTACGTCAAGTGCGCGCTTTCTATTGTGAAAAGTGTCAACTCGACATTGGCTACAAACACTATCATGTCTTCCCAGGTTGTCCTGGATTATAAACCCATTCTTAAGAATCGCTTCAAATAATAGAAGTTGAATCTGCCTGCAATCTTCGGTCTCAACACGAGTAAGACTTTTATCGTAATGTTTATTTTATTTGGTAGTGTTAATTATTGCTTTCCAAGTGAAATCATTTTCACAGTAATTACAATATGTTTTTCAAATATTCTCCTCTTTCTCAATTGTCTTATGTTCATGATGTGTTACCAACATTTAACAGTTTGAGTAATGCTATTCACCCCCACTGGGAATGAAAACACAGTCTACGTGACTTCAGTGTGACATTAAATGAGACTGTGTTTTCATCTCTATTGAGGATGAATAACATTACTCAAATAAATAATGCTAAAATCTAAACATCTAACCATCTACTGTAATTCCTGAATGAATACCTTAACTAGGGGAAGAAGCCCTTTCTTAGGTTAACCTTGATTACTGTGGTCCTGTATTTAAATATCATTTAAGAGATGTTGAGTCACCAAGATATGTGGGCAATTATATTTTGGCAGTTCTTTTAATAATTACTCTAACGAAATATCATCGGAAAATAATAAAGAAAATAGAAGAATAAGATTTTGTGTGTCGTGATGTCCAGTTATCCATGCCACATACAAAATGCTCTCGAAGTGTTAAGGATAAATATTTTGCGTGGCTCAACTCTTTATGTGTCATTATGTTGTATATTTATTTTTATTTATTCGATGTGAGATAGTTGTCTTTAATATGAAGATGATTGAAAGTATCGATGTCCAGAAATTTATAAATAATTTATTTTCTTAATATAATTTTTTTTTTTTTTTACGAACGT